AAACAAGCTAGAGTAGTAAAACATACAATGACATTAGTGTACGCTACTATTTTGTTATTGATATAAGGGGAAAAGCTAGAGCAATTCAAATATAAAATAAAATTTAATTTAATTTAAAAAAACCTAACTTTGATAGGTACCCAGGCAGCACACATTAGTATAACTAACGTATTTTATACGTAATACTCGTTTAATTTTGGTATTGGTTGATTCCGTATACGTTTACAGTTTACGATTATTATACATACCGTGTTTTAAACGATATATTATACGTTTTTTATATACATCCTATGGTATATAATTGTAAATTTGTCTACGTTTAAATTTAGTTAACAATATACGACTATTTTTAGTTTGCGATGAACTATTTATATACAGTGGGCCTAAATATACGTTTAGGTTTATTTAAATTAAATTCGTATAAATTTACATTATTATACAATATGTTTTCTTCGTTTATAATTCCCGTTTAAATTTCGTCTTGGTTGATTTTTTAAACGTTTACCATCTACCATTTTTATACTTAACGTTTTTTAACAGATAAATTAAACGCTTTTGTTTGTCGATACTAGTTAATATACCTATATTATTCTACGTTTAAATATAAGTCACCTTAAACGCATAATACCAGTTTACGATGAACTAGTAGACAGAAGTAAATAATATGTATATATTTAGGTTTATTTAAATTAAAAGCTTATAGATATATTTATTTACATTACATCCACATTTTTTTAATTATATTACCTGTAATATTTATAACAAATTCCCCATACACATGGAACTATTTTTAGATGGCGGATGGAGGACGACGTACTAGTGGTACGGTCTTTTCTCATTTCTACTCATGCGTATGTGTAGTATTATTGTTCAGTGTAGGGAATGGTTTGTGGGAGCAGGTTCATCGGTTCGTCCATTTTAATTTGTGTACACGTTTTGTTGCATGTTTCTTTGGCGTCCTGGCTTTTACAATATTGATTAAAAGCATAGGTAAGTTTCTATTAATGTTTTAATTTAGCTACTCCTTTAATAATTGTTGCATTTTACAACAACTACTGTTTTATAGGCACGTACAGTATGTTAAATGATTATAGAAACTTCAAAACATAACCTTACTTTTGTTTCTTTTATTTTTTTACGTATTTTTTAGGTTACCTAGTTATTTCAAGCATACTTATTATACTTATTTTCCTTTTTTTTGGTCAGTTGTTTTTTATTTAATAAAATGTCTAAAATAACTCTGTCACTGCGTCATCTACGTAGAAAAATAGCGCAAAATGTTCAAGATGCTTTAAAGTCAAATGAATTTTTTTTTATTCCCAGTGAAGATAACATTAATAAGGCTTCGGACATTAATATATCATCTAATTCTATTGTTTATAATAATTTCCAAGAAAATAATACGAATTTAATTTCGGAGCTGTTAGAAAATATTTCACCTGAAATTAAGTTAGATTTTCGTTATAGGAATGGGGGTGGACCAAGCGACTTAACCGACCGAACGATTAGGTGTGCCATGCAAGATTAGCTTAAGTTAGCTAAGGCCCGTCCAAAGTGTTAAGCTGAGATTTTTATTTTCATATATATTTTTTGTTAGTTAAAGAAAAGTCTCGTTTAGTTTGTTATTCAGTATTTTAGTGTTTATTTTTTTGTATTTATTTAGTTTTTAGTATTTTATTGTTTATTTTTTTTATAATTAAATATTGTTCTGTACATATAACAAGTGATCAAAAAAAATTTATAAATATTTAGGTCAATTACAACCAAAATATAAATACGAGTAATGCCTATTTCTGGTGTATACACACACCTGCTATGGATAAAATCTAAACTATCATTTAGGAAATATTAACATTTTTCCATGGCCTCTTTTAGAATTTTTTTTTTTATCACTTTATTTAATTTGTGTTTGAAATACATTTAAAACAATATCAGTTAGACGCATTTTACACATTAATAAAAATCATACAAATATATCTAATATAGACGTATAATAAAACAGGATAATTAAAGGTAGATAAAGTAGTAATGTTAGACGTATAAAAAATAAAAAAAATATACGTTTATAGGACGGACATTTTCACGTATATATTGGGTAGCATATCAACAGTATCCATACGTATATTGTAGTACATAAAAAAACGTATTTTATACCAAAGTGAATTCGTATAAATATACTACAACTATAAATCCAATATAGACGTATAGTAAAAACGTTTAATTATAGAGGATAAATTCTTAGTAATCGACGTTTATAAGGCGGACATTTTCACGAATATATTTGGTAGTACATCAACCGTATTCATACGTATGGTAGTACCTAAAAAAATACGTAATTTATACCAAAGTGTGCTGCCTGGGTAGGTTGTACTTATGTACCTATTACTTTCCTGAAAACCCCTGTATAATCGAAATTATTTTTATATTGTTGCCTTTTCTCACACAGGTACAGATATCGATGTGAAAACAGATTTTAAAAAAAGCAATTATAGTTTTGGCTCTACAGAGGCGGTGGCCCACCCTGTATATTTTTGTATCTGACCCGAAAAACTTTCTTTGTTTGAATTTAACGTAAATCAAAAGGGTTCAATGCAAGAAGTGGACATGGACATAATTTTTGTTTATACATGATTTTTCTAAAATGGACCGTAATGGAAAAGTAGTAAATTTAAAGTTTTCAGTATTTTCGTTTTCAATGAATATCTATAGAAAAATGTTTTGAGGTAGATGTATGTGGCCAATGTATATATTTAGTTTATCCTCTAAACATTTATAGAGATGCTGCAATAGGTTGTACAAAATAACCGGAAAAAGCCTATAATAACTAGATAGGAAAGTCATGTGTTGGACACATCAGATTTTTTAAAATGGACCATGTTATCTGATATATTTTAAACCAGACTTTTTTCTCCAATAGGTGCAGTAGTGTAAATATAGTAAAAAAATTAGTTTAGCCCCGAATCGGAGCTTCTCGAGATACTTCGTTAGCCACTTCGTGCTTCGTTCTCAGATTTATATCGATTTAGATTGATTTAAAAAAAGTTTAAACTGTATTAAAAAATGTATTCTATATAGTTTGTAGTAAATGCTTTAATTGTTTGAATTTGTTTAATTACTCGTTCAAGTGTATTTATCATGGCTCAAAACCCAAATAGGTAAATGCCGGCGTTTCACGACAGCTAGGTAGGTATACCTATCCGACAAATATATTAACACCAAAACTGTGTTTAAAGTATGTATAATTTATGCCATGTCGATAATATTTAAATTAATAAAGTCAAAATTTGATTAATTTTGATTGAAAAAAGCATATGAACGTTTTTTACCTATCCCGAAAAAGTACACAAAATGGACGCCCAGTTCTTGCATCTTAAAATTACCTATCCAGAAAGTTATAGGTATCTCAAATAAAATTAATTTAATTACACTTACATAACGATGAAAATATCCAAATTTCCATTGTAGAGTAGGGTAAAAACTCTCACTGGTATAATAAAAACTACAAAGACTTCTTTAAAAAACACCTGTTCACGTATTTCAAATATTCGTCAACTGATTTTTAATACACGTCTAAGATGATTTCATCTTTAAACAATACCTCCCCTCGATTGGCATGGTGCAACAACAGGGGAATTAGTTTTAAGGAAGGGCGACTTTAGGTTTTCGGCCAATGGAAGCTCGCCATTTGAATTACGTACTAATCGAGGAGAAAACAAATGAGCGCCAATTTGAACTTTTCAGTGCTGGTATTTTGACAGTGACTACTGCTACTAAGTACATAATATTAATAAAGACAGTTTCCGATAAGTTTTATTTTATTGCGTTGATTTGTCCTATAGGTATATAAGTTGTAATAACATATGCTTCTTAATTAAAACTAGTGTTATCTCTAAATCTGTGGTGACACAAAGTTTGTTAAATAATCCAGAACGTAGATACAGTTTTTTCATAAAACAAAAATCGTGAAAGGCTTGTTCTGGTTTCTTCAAAACCGTCCGAGATTCAGTGGAACAGTTAAATACCAAATTATTCGTCGTGTGAAACTTTTAAACTTTCCACTGGTCAGCTAGGTACTACTCGGACAGTTTTCAACATATTTTTGAAGAACCAGAACAGACCTGAAGGGTATTCAATTGGTACTTATGGCTATTTTTTCATTTATTAAAACCATTTATCGTTGAGAATGAGAAATAATAGAAAATATTAAAGTTCAAAAAATAGACTTTGCAAGTTTTTACATTGTATACTAAGGTTATGTAATTACATTATTGTTGTAATGTCTGATATTTGTCAATCGTACCTAATGTAATAACCCAAGAAAATCTAAATAACTTTATAATAGTTCTCGAGAGCACGTTACTTGGCTTGCAATCTATGCAGGGTGTTTTAAGGGTTTGACCACTAATATATTTTAATAAAAAAACATAGGTATGAAGCATTTAAAGCAAAAATGTTTACAATAAGTACTTTTTATTTTTCTATGTAATAGGTACCTACTAGTTACAATTTTTATTAATTTAATAAAAATTATATTACCTACATAGATATGCCTGGGTATCCTAAATTTGTCTTATAGGTAGGTATTCAGTCAACAATTTTTTTGGTGCAAATTATAATTAATTTATTATACAGTAGGTACCTACCTAACTTTTTTTATTCTTAACAGACTTTTAAAAAAAGGAGGAGGTTCTCAATAAGTTATAATATTTTTATGTATGTTCAGCGATAATTCTTTACCACCTTATTCGATTTCTCTGCTAATTATCCTTCCTACATTAAAATTAAATTATAAACAAATTTTAATCAACAATCGAAAAACCAAACTGTCAACAGTTATTTATTTCAATGATCAACCACTACTATATGCAACCAAGAATACAGACTGGTGTTAAAGGTAAAGCATACTTTTTGACAATACACAGAAGCATGACCTCACAAATCAAATAATCGATTTTGAAAACTATATAGGTACCACTTTTATACTCAATAAAACTAAAAAAAACGTTTAGTGTTTTATTTTATTCATTAGTTACAAAATACTGTGATTAAAATAAGTTAATGATTGTTAATTTTCCAGATATTAAATTTTAAAGTTACATGGGTCTTCCCATACCACGCCCTCCCATTTGTGGTGGAGCTTCAGATTTCTGATTCTTGATAGTCTCGTCCACAGAAAGTATTAGACAGGTAGCTTCTGCAGCTGCCGTTAAAGCATTAACCTTGACAATGGCTGGTTCCCAAACACAAGCTTCAAAGTTGTCAATAATGTCTTCTTTGGCAATATCAACACCATACCAAGGATTATTCTGGGCATGCTTCTGTCTTAACTTATTTAGTATGTTTGTAGCATCAAAACCTGCATTATCACATAACTGTCTTGGGATTATCTCCAAAGCTTTAGCAATAGCCCCAATAAGGAGTTGTTCTTTTCCTGCTATAGTTCTTGAATGATCTCTTAATAATTTTGATAATTCCATTTCAATTGCTCCTCCTCCTGCTACAACTGAGTCATTCTTGATAGTTCTACGGACAATCATGATGGCATCATGTAAAGATCTTTCAGTTTCTTCGAGAAATTGTTCAGATCCTCCTCTTAAGAGTAATGTACAAGTTTTAGCATTAGGACATCCTTTAAAGAAATTGTATCTCTCACCTCCTATTTGTTTTTCTTCAAAAAGCTGACATTTACCTAGTACTGAATCATTTAGATCATTAACAGTGGTCATTACAGCACCACCACATGCTTTTAGGGTTCTTTTCATATCATCTTCTCCTACCCTACCAGCACAGAACATATCTCGATCAGCAAAATATTGAGTGGCTACATCACCAATGGGAAGTTTGGATAAAACAGCATTAGCACCAGATTCATGGATTTTTTGGAGTTTGTTGTACAATATGTTCCATTCTGCATCAACAACTTTTTGATACTCCTTTACACTGGTTAAACGAATTTCTGCATTATCTCTTTCAGCTTTAAGTTCCAATTCAATATTTAATAAAGCAATTTTGCAATCTTTGTATATTTTTGGCTGCATTTCAAAACCAGCATAAGAAAAAGTTTTCTTGAAAGCAACTCCAGCTACTAGAACTGACTCTTCAAGACCACCTCCCTGAACTTTTTTTATACCAATCATATTTAATGGTAATAACTCATCAAGAAGTAAGACAGCATCTACCACCATCTTTGAAAAGAAAGATCTCTGTTGGTTGATCAATTTTGAACTCATTGCTGTTGCAGCACATTTCTCTAGTAAAGATCTAAATTCATCAGCATTTGACTTATTAATTTTAACAGCAAGAGAACTTATTTTTTCTAAACAAATTTGAGTTGCTTTACGTACTGCTTTTATGATAATTCGTGGATGTACACCTTCTTCAACATATGGTTTGATCTGTCTCAAAAATTCTCCAGCTAGTAAAACTACAGAAGTTGTACCATCACCTACTTCAGCATCTTGAGACTTTGCTATATCTACTAAGGTTTTTGCAGCTGGGTGAATTATGTCCAATAATTTTAAGATAGTAGCTCCATCATTGGAAATAGTCGCTGCACCTCCGCTTCCGACAATAAGTTTATCCATTCCTCTAGGCCCCAAAGTTGTTCGTATGGCGTCCACAACATTTTGGCAAGCATTTATATTTGAAATCAGTTGAGGTTTACCTTGTGATGAATCGGTACCTTCTTTGAGTAATAATATTTGTGGTTGCATCATTTTGAAGCTAATCGATTCACTTTTCAACTTTTTTAACACAAAATAATTATTTTATTTAATTTTTTAGGACCAGGTGTGCTTCGGCACAATGATTTAGACAAAAGTAAGGTTAAAATTTCTAGAAAATGGAACCCAACCTAAAAAATGTTAAAGCTCGTTTTACACTACCAATCATGAGTTGAGAATAACAGCGTTGCCTAATATTAAATTTTATTCAAGTGAATTAGATTAAATTTAATTTAATTTTTTTCAGTATCTAAAGGCTGTATGTCACGATACTAAATTAAGTACTAAATTTAGCACTAAATTAAGTTATTAATTTAGTACTAAATTTAGAACTAAAAATTTTTTTTTCCGTTTGCAACGATACCAATTTTTAGTACTAAATTTACTATAGGCGCACGCGCATTGACGTATTAATACGTAAAATTAACAGAGAAATGAAATATTATGTGTAAAACAGACAAGTAAATGGTGTTTTTATTATCAATTTGACACTAGTTGACTTGACAACAACCAAATACAGCATAAAAACCACGAAAAAAACACAATAAAACCTACAAAATCAAACAAGCGAACTTTATTCAAGGCGATAATGTAAAATTGTCGCTAATTAAAAATAAAAGGGTACAGAAAATACCGTCGTGTCAACTTTTTCTATGAAAAACTTCTGCGCAACATTTCGGCGCACTTTTAGTACTTAATTAATGACTTTTTTTAGCACTAAATTTAGTACTAAATTTGCTGTTTGCAACGTGAATTTTTTTAGTACTTAAAAAATGCATTAATTTAGTTCTAAATTTAGTACTTAATTTAGTATCGTGACATACAGCCTTAATGCATTTTTAAAATTGTTATAGTAAAAAGAGAGCGTAATTCTTCATAGTTTATTATTTTACAGGTTTAGGGGTCTATTCTGTAACAATTCCTTTATATTTAACAGCCTTTAAAAATATTTTCTTCTTTACTTCTGTCATTATTTAAACGGATCTTTAAAATACATTAGAGGACTATCTTAA